CTGAAAGAAAAGGAGACATGTTCAGCATAATACCTAGCAATAAGAGGCAATACATTTTGCTACTCTCCAACTCACCATCTGATGTTTATCTTCAGTCAAACACTGTGACTCAAGATTTCCTATAAAATACCCCACACTCTTCCCCACTTCCATGGCATTGTTTTTCTTCCTTTCATTTAAAATTCCCTCCTTGGCCAGGCACAGTTGCTCATGCCTATAACCTTAGCACTTTGGGAAGGTGAGGTGAAAGAACTGCCTGAACCCAGGGGTTTAAGACCAGCATGGGCAGGGCAACTTGGCAAAACCTCATCTCTATAATAAATCAAAAAAGTAGCTGGGCATGGTGGCACAAGCCTGTAGTTCCCCCTACCTGGAAGAATCGCCTTAGCCCAATAGGTCAAGGTGTGATTGTGCCACTGCACTCCAGCCTGGGGGACAGACTCTAACTCAAAACATAACATAACATTAATAAAATGTAAAAAATAAAATTCCTTCCTCCTTCCAATTCCTTCAAGAAATGTATATCCAAATTATAACTATGTTTTAAGGTCTTAGATCAAATACTATTTATTTCATAAAGCCTTTATACATTTATATACTACTTTAATTATATCTTTTAAAATAAGTATGTACTATTTTCTAATAACAAATAAAAAATGTAAAAAAAAGATTCAAAGTAGCTCTGAAGTGAAAGGGTATGACATTAAGATAGAGTAACATCTCCAGAAAATTCTGCAAACTTGCATTTTTTTTTTTTTTTTTTTTTTTTTGAGTTGGAGTCTCACTCTGTCGCCCAGGCTGGAGTGCAGTGGCACGCTCACGGCCACCCCAGTGTCAACCGGTTGGGCTCTAGTATTCCTTCTGCCTCAGCCTCCCAAGTAGTTGGAATTATGGGTGTGCACTACCACATTTGGCTAATTTTTTTATTGTAGAGACGAGATCTCGCCAAGTTGCCTGGCCTGGGCTAGAACCCATGGGCTCAGGCAAAGTGCTGGGATTACAGGCTGAGCTACCGAGCCTGGCCAGCATGGACTTTTAAGAAACAGACTTTGTTACATAACTGAAAAGATTTCCCATAATAGTATGTTCCAATCTGAGAAAAGCTGTGTGTCTAACCATAGTGGTTCTCAAAATGTAGGCCCTGGTCTAACAGAATCAGCATCACCTAGAATCTTACTAGAAATGCAAATCTTGAGCCGCACCCCAGACCTAATGAATCAGAAAGTGTGGATGGGATTTAGTAATCTGTGGTTTAACCAGTCCTCCAGCTGACTCTAATGTACTTCAAAGTTTGAGAAACATGTCTATACTAAAATAGCACTGGTGATAATTTTAATTCTTTTAATAAGTTTGAGTTCTTTAATAAACTGTGAACATAAAACGGGAAATAAATTTTGAAAACCAATTTGGAAATCTATACACTATACAGAGTTGTCAGAGAAACCACCACCACATTTGCTATGAAAAGTTATTAGCGACTGGGCACTGTGGTTCAAGCCTGTAATCCCAGCACTTTGGGAGGCTGAGGTGAGGAGATCGCCTGAGCCCATGGGTTCAAGAGCAGCCTGGGCAACTTGGCGAGACCGCATCTCTACAATAAATAAAAAAAAAATTAGCCAAGCATGGTAGCATGTGCCTGTAGTTCCAGCTACTTGAAAGGCTGAGGTGGAAGGATCACTGGGGCCCAGCAGGTCGATGCTGGGGTGGCCGTGAGCAAGCTTGTCACTGCACTTGATCCTGGGCAACAGAGTAAGACTCCAACTCGAAAAAAAAAAGCAATTAGCTGCTAATTATGTGCTACTATGGCTATGTTCCATTCTTTCACAATCTTGCAAACCTCTGCTAATTGCAAAATACATATATACATCTGATCTATACTTAAATTTAGATGTTAAAGAACCAAAAAGCTAACAAAATAAGGTCATAAATATTCAAATCAGCTGGGCTCAGTGGCTCAGCCTGTAATCCCGCGCCTTTGGGAGGCTGAGGTGAGTGGAC